AAGTCGTTCAAAATTCTATTGTGCGTTCGTCGGCCGCGCATGCTTAGGCTCCTGAAGGCCACGGTAGCTGTCGCAAACGACCGCCACAGTGCATTCGAAAGCAGTTGACTCTGACTTAAGCGCCAATCTTTAACTACTTTTGATCTGTTTGACATCCTCTTGTTCGTTTACCCCTTCATTGTTGCGTGTTTTGTGTTTGATAATAATACACAAAATAGTGACGTCACCTCACAATCTGCGTTTTCTGATTTCCGGGTTCGGGTTTATAAAGGGGACTTTGTGACTCAAATATGGTTTAAATTCTTGGACGGTGATGCGATGGAGCGCAGTTTAGCAGATACTACAGCCAGCACCTTGGCCAAGGTTAGCAGTTCTAGAGCAAAGAAAGCGATTACAGAAAGGTTGTAAGCTCAGTCCACAGACTGAGGGAGATGGTACTTCCGATTAGTCCAAAACACAGCGTTGTCTTAGGGAACACAACCGGTTATTTAAGGCATGAAGACCTGAACAGCAAAGCATCAGGACTATTAACCTAGATCGTGAATCGTTGGGATTCGGCCATCAAAGCGACGGTTGAGTATAAACAAGCTACCCAGTGCGGCAAGAGTCCACATATATTGGTGGCCGTAGTAGTAGTAATAATAGTAAATTAATAATTAATAATTAAATAAATTGTATAATCCTCGACAATGCGAGAACTTGTTCCCTAGAATAGGGGTTCCAACCCCAAAGGGGTAAAATGGCATTCTGCGGGAGGCAAATATTGGTACGAGGATTGGGTCATCAATCGGTCGTTAAAATGTTTAGTAACAAAATCATCCGGATCAAAACAAGTCACTAACTCCCCGTGCCCTTTGGATTAGCCACCAGCGACCAGTCATTAGTCACTGCAACCAGATGATACATCTATCGGCTCCTGTGGCTATCGTCAGGCAGTCGTTCGCCGGGTCGAATTATGGAGTCGATAGTAAACTATAGTAGTTGAGCCTTGGTCTGACGACCAGGTAAGGGGACGCGTGATTGTTTCCAGGTTAGAAGGGTCAAAACGGGCGGTTAGTGTTTACCACGTGTCGATACAGAGTGGTGGTGTCATCATGCAGGAAGGACTTGGAATGGAGGAATGCAACACGTAAGAAGACACTGATATCTGTTCATGTTTGATCATGACTCACACACTAAAGGTCATATGATGCCTTGAATGGAGATAATAGCAGGCATTTGAAAGTGTGCAGAACACCCCGTTTTGGACACACAAAAGCGGAATCAGCGGATTTCACGCTAGTGAGCATTGGGTGTTGGGGTGATCACGCTCATCTAGTTGTTTTGACAACAAACCACAGCAGGTGAGTGATTTAATTCAGTGGTTTTGATATCGACATTAATCAGCATATCCACTAACGTTTACGATAATGTCACCTACATTAAATCAAGAAAATACTCATATTTAAATATATCATATAGTTGCCTAATTTTTTTGCAGGAACCAGGTCTTCTGGAAAAATGCGGTCCTACAATAAAGCTTTTCTGCAATGGGGCTTCACTAATTTTGTCAATAAAATTATGGAGCAGCCGCAATGTGTTTTGTGCAGCAAAGTGCTCACGGGAGAGAGCATGCAACCCAGCTAATTGTAAGATCACTTCGACCAAAGTCATTCTCAGTTTGTAGGAAAAGATATGACATTCTACAAACAGAAGGAAGCTGCGCTCAAAATTTCGTGCCTGGATACTACGGGTTCCTTATTTCAGTCAACTGAAGCTGGTCGTGAAGCGTCGTATCGCATCTCTCTTCGATTGGCCACAAACAAGAAACCGCATACTATAGGAGAGGATCTCATAAAACTTCGCTAATCGATGCCGCGAAGTCCCATCTTGGAGAGAAAAGTGCAGAAGAGATAAGCACGATATCACTTTTTAACAACACAATCAAAAGTCGTATCGAGGATATGAGCAAGAATATTTTGAATATGGTGCCCAACGAAATAAAGTCAAGTCCTTTCTTCGCAATACAGTTAGATGAGTAGACCGATATTGCATCCTGTTCCAAGCTACTAGTCTATGTTCGGTACATAAAAGGCAACCGCTTCAAAGAAGAGTACTTGTTCTCAGAATCATTGAGCACAACTACATGTGGCGAAGATGTCGTTCGAAAAGTAAAGGATTTGTCGAGGAAAATGATCTAGAGTGGTCAAGGTTGTTGGGTGTTTGTACCAACGGAGCACCATCCATTTTGGGCGTCCGTTTTGGATTTCAAATATTAGTCAAAAAATTTGCTCTGCGCTGTGCCTTCAGCCACTGCATAATACATCGTTATGCTTTAGCAGTGAAACATCTTCCGCCTGGTTGGCTGGACACGTTAACCAACGTAGTGAAAATAATGCATGTCATCCGCAGTAGGCGACATATACAAGAGTTTTCAAAGAATTGTGCAATGAATTAGGAGGTAAATTCGACGTGTTCTTATTGCACACGAAGTGCTTCGGTTATCACGTGGCAGGGTGTTGCACCGAGTGCTCGAGCCTCGAGAAGAAATTGCTATATTTCTTGAAATGAAGGAACTGCGTAAGGGCAAATTGAACGGGTTACACGTCATGATAACAAACAATGTGTTTATACCCAAACTAGCATATCTTGCAGATTTCTTCGGAGAAATAAATGCACTGAACCTCAGCTTGCTAGGAAATATGGTTAATATTCTAACTGCTCAGGTTGCCAGTTTTCTTCGTAAAATGCAACTTCACCAACGCATAGCAACAGTTGACGATGTGTCGATGTTTCCAGAACTAGCAATGGTGCTCGCTGGAAGAAACGAAACATGAGCTTTGACAGATGATATAACTTTCCACTTGTCGTCAGTGGTCCATTCCATCAACAAATATTTTCCCGATTTGGAAGATCGCCAAGTAAATGCCTGGGTGCTAAGACCTTTTTCAGTGGATGAAGAAATCTTTGCGGATACTGCCACCGAAGCCAAAGCACAATTCCTCGGAATGCGAGAAGATAACGAATTAAAAATAGATTTCCAAAGCACATCACTGGTAGCATTTTGGATAAAGATAGGTGGTGAGTATCCATTGCTACAGGACAGAGCATTGAGAATATTGACCCCATTTGCAACAACTTATAGATGTGAAAGTGGATTTTCGACAATGGTTTCAATGAAGACAAAAGCAAGGAGTCGAATGAACCTGTAGCACGACTTCCGAT